ATATATATATATATATATTTATATATATATTTATATATATATATTTTAATTATATATATGCTTAAAATAATATTAACTATTTTATTTTAATTCAATATCTTAATAATATATTGCAAATACAGTTAAACTCAAAAAATATGCATGTTTAAAATTAAATTAAACATTAAATTATATGATATTACTTCATATTATAAAAAAAAATACATTCTATTAAAAAAAGATTGATAAAATTATTATAAAGTTAATTTACAATTCTTTCTTATAATAATATTTCTATTAAAAATAATGTATTATTTATTTATATTTTTAAATAATATTTCTTATCAAAATATGAAAAAAAATTTAAAAAGATCAGAAAAGAAAAAATATATAAAGGCTTTTTTATAAATAAAGATTGATTTTTAAAAATAATAAAAAATTTAATAAAAATCAATTACTAATAATATTATTCTTATTTGTATTTTGATAATATTTATTTTTTAAAAAGATAATTAAAAAATAATTTAAAATTGATTGAATTTGTTAATAATAATATTAAAAATTATTTAATTATCTTTATTATTTTTTATTATTTTTAAATATTAACATTTATATATATATATATACAAATATATATATATAAGAATATTTTTTATATAAATTATATATAATACAAAAAAAAACCAAATAAATGGATTTAAATAGTAAAATAGATGTTATTACAGCCGAATTTTGGCAATTAATCCGTTAAGAAGATCAAATAGTCTCAAAAAGCTTAATTTAAATTAAAAAGGACGCGATAATATAAGATTAATAAGGGATTGTATTTAAATAAACAATAGGAGATATGATAGATGAGGCTATTAAATAAGAAGTAATATAAAATAAAAATAAAATATTTATTAAAAAAAGAGAAAAATAAAAAAAAAAAAAAATATAAACATTAAACAAAAAAATACAAATTTAAATAATGAAGAAATAAAAATAAATAAGAAAAAAGGAAATAATAAAAATAAGAAATGGAGTATTATTGAAATTTAATAATTATATGAACTTTTAAAATAATTTGGAACTGATTTTAGTACAATTTAATAACATTTTGATAAAAAAACTATAACTTAAATAAAAGTAAATATTTTTATAATTAAAATATAAAAAAATAATATAAAAAAAAGAATAAATTTAGAAAGGAAGAATAAAAAAACCCTAAAAAAATAAAAGACTCACTAAATTTTATAGATAATTAATAAATAATAAATAATGAAATATGAATTATATATTTTTTATAGATAAATTAATAAGAATTTCAAAAAATATTTATTAAATAATTTCAAAAAATTATATGAACATATATAAAATTAAGATTTTGAAAATGATAAAATATAATAAAATAAAAAAATATAAATATAAATATATTTTTTATATATATATATATATATATATTATTTTTTTTTTTGTTTAATTATATACATATATACATATATTTGAATATATATATATACTAATATTTTCATATAATTTTTTACACTTAAATTTATAATATTTAAAATATATTTTTTTATACTTAATAATTAATAAAATAATTATTATTTAAATAATAAATAGAAAATTTTTTTATCTTACTAAAATTAATATAAATAAATTGATAAAAATAAAAAAATAAAAAATATAAAAATATAAAATATAAAAATAAATTAAACAATATTTATATAATAAAAAGAATTAAATAAACGTAATAAAAAAATACATTATATAAAAAACTAATTTAAAATTATATTATTATTATAAATATATTATCTTTAAAATTAAAAATGAAATTTTAAAAAAATGTTATAAATAAGTATATTTAGAAATTAAATATATTTAATTATTTATTTTAAATATATAATATTATTAGTAATATAGAGCAATACAATTTTCAAAATTATAATTAATATTTTTTTTCATATATTTATATTAATTGATAAATAAATTATTTAAAAAAAAATATCTTAGTAAAAATATATATATAAATAATATTAGTATTACATAAATAAAAAAAAATATATTGTTTATTTTATTTAATATTTTTTCTATTTTATAATTTTAATTTATATAAAAGAAATTTTTTTTTTTATTTATGATTTTAAAATATAATTATATGAATAAAAAATAATATTTATTTAAATATAATATATATATATATATATGTTTATATATTTATATTTTTATACATATATATTTTCAATTATTTATTATATATATAATCATATATTTTTATATTTTATAAAAAAAATATTTATAAAAATAAACATTATTTTATATATATATTAATTTTTTTTTATACATCTATATTTCATTAATATTTTTAAAAATATATATTTTTATAATATATATATATATATATGTATATAATAGTTAATATATAATTTTCATATTAATTTATAATTATCTTATATTTCTGTAAGATTTCCTCGTTTTTCTTATTCTTATTCAATTGATAAAAATAGCGATTTAAAATTTCCTGCTCCAAACCCTTAATGATTATTTCTTTATATTATTTCATAGAACAATGTAGGTCTATCTTCTACAGGTTTTGTAAATATTTATAAAAGATATCCTTTTTCATCATAATCAACTAAAATATTATTTTTTTGAATTTTATCGAGATCTTCTTTCACTTAAATAGAATTTTAATTGCTTAAATTCTTTCTTAAATTGTCATAATAAGTTTATGGAATAGATAGAAATTCCACTCCTCTACTCCTTAATCCTTCTACAGTATCTATTATATCATTTGTATTAAGAGCTACATGTTATACACCTGATCCAGCATAATAATCTACATATTCCTAAATTTAAGATTTCTTTTTTCCATTAGCAGGTTCATTAATTGGCATTTTAACAATCTAATCAAAATCAGTAACTACTATACTTCTCAGTGATGAATATTCAGTATGAATCATAGAATCATCTACACTCCAAAATCTATGAAAATCTAAATGTTTTTCATACCAAGAAGCTGCATCTACCATTTTGTTATCCTTTAATTTAAAAAAAATAAAAAAAATTAAAAAAAATTAAAAATATATATAAATATTAATATATAATAAAAATACAGGCTAATTTCCTACTACATGATCAATAAAATTATAATCTATAGGCTTTAGAACATCATTAATAGTACATTTTAAATAATGTGGTACAAAACCAGGCATAAAATGCCCTTTATATTCATTTCTTTAAACAAAAGTATGTATAGTATCCCCATATGTATGTACAGATGCAACAATAACTTTACCATACTAATCTTCTAGTGTTTTAGGTTCAAATACAGGTTTAGCACCTCTAGTGACTGCTTTATTATATATAGAAATACAATTTTCAACCTATATATATATATATATATATATATATATATATATAAATAAATATATTTATTGTTATTTTTTTACTGTAAAAGCAACATCCCTAACGCCATCACCATGTAAAGATTAATGTTAATTCATTTCTATTTATTCTTAATTTTAATTACCATAAGGCGAACTAAAAGCCAAAGTTACTCCCTTATGATTTCTAATTACATGAGTACATACATCCCTAGAACCTGTTTCTAAACCTTTATAGGCATAGTATTAAAAGCCGAAATGGGTTGTATACCAGCCGGCTGCTTATTTAGCGTTTCCTACCCATAAATGGAGATGGTCAAAACCTAAAAAACGACCACCTTAAGGGCGTTCGCCTTGAGGTTTTTCAGAATGTTTTTAATCAATCATATTTTTTTTTTTTTTTTTTTTTAATTATTTATTTGTTTATTTGGTTATTTTTTTTATATATATATAATATTAAAATGGGAAATTTGTCGTACTTGCTTTTTTTTTAGTATTATTTTTTTGATTTTTATTACGCTATTTATGATTTTTTTTTTTTAATATTTAATTTGCTTTTTTTTTATTATAATATTTTTTGTTAACATTTAATTATAATAGATTTCTAATTAATTATAAAGGTTTTTAATAAGTATATAGAAATTTTAAAATACTTGTATTATTAATGAAACAAATTAAGTAAAAAAATTATTAAATTAATATTTTTATAAAAGATATTAAACTATAATATAGAAAATAGAAAGAATATAAATGTATAATAAATTAATTATAAAATACAAATAAAAGATTTTAAAAAATATTAATACTAAATATATATAATTTACTTAAGTTATTATTTAAAAGTAATATAAATCCGGTAAATAAAATCTAAATTAGTTAAACTATAATTTATATTATCTTTCTAATAGACAATTAACTTATTTAAATATTTTCTAATTAAAAAAATACAAAAAAATAACTCATAATATATTAAATTTATAGAATTAATTCTTCATTTAATATTAAAATATATTCATCTTCCCTCCAAAAATCTGAAAAAGAAAAAAAAAAATATGTAAAAACATTTAAAAAGTAATAACCTAAAAAAAATTAACTAATCATAATATACAATTTCAATATCATAATGATTCGCATAAGCTTCCAACCCATAATTATTATACATGATCTCACAAATATTTTATAATTTCCTGACATGCAATCTTATTTAAATTGCTTTTGATGTTAAATCTTCATATAAATACACAGATTTTCTCCAACTAAAAAAGAAGTCTCTATAAGAATTTACAGAGTCATAGTATTGAGAATAGAAGTATTTAGCCTATAAAAACATCATTGTTTGTGGATATTTTTTTCCATTAATTTAGAGTCTGATGTCCTATAGATATTTTAATAATAATAGGAAAGGAAAAAATTGAGTCTAGGGACTATATTTTTGGAATACACCGCTGTCTATAGACACATAATCGATTAATATTTAAGAAATTATCACAATTATCAACTAAGTCTATTTTAGTAAGATTCTCTTTGGAAGACCTAATTATCATTAATCGAAGCTTCCATCAATGTGAAATTCGGTTAAAAGACTTATTTGTTTTAATTTGATGATTTCACTATAAGTATAAAGCAATCGATTAATTTAAGGAGGAAATATAGAAATTTAATATAAAGTAAATTATCTTACTTTCCATAAAGATTCATCTTCTTTCCATATAGACGCATCTTCAGTAATTATAAGAGTTGCTTTGATAATTGAAAGAAATTGTGTATTATTTTTAATTGACTAAAAGTAAGAATTAGGAAGGTATTTCTTCTTGATGTACTAGAAGCCCTCCCTAAACTTAATTGGAATTTTACTAAATATTAATCTTTTTGCTTAGAATATTTAAACATGTGAACTTTTTAGATGTAGACCTTCATGCAGGAAAAAAACAGAAAAATAAAATAAAATAAAATTAAAGCAAATAGAAAGTCTTTGTTTTTTTGTTTTTTTGTTTTTAAGTTATTCCGATTCTTTTTTAGAAATTATTATGAATTCGGAGGGCAGTCTTCAATTTTCATACAGCAGATATTAAAAGGAAAAAAATATTTTTTATTTAAAATTATTAAATATATAGAATATATAATTATATATATTTATTTAAAAATGTAATTAAAAAAATATAAATCATTCTTAACATAACCATTTATGTTCTAAAGCCTCTTTTGCTGAAACCCTTTTTTTAGGATTATAGTTAAGCATTGGTAAAAGGAAACCTTCAATATCAATTGCCGTTTATTCATCCATATTATATTCTTATATAAGAATTTCACTAATAGGATAATCTATAAGTTATTTAATTCTCAATAATTGTCCGTTTTTATTAAAATACTCTCGACTTTTACTGCCAGAAAGGCAGAATTATTTCGAAAATTTACCTAAACATTCCATCATTAAGGCTAAATGTTCATCACTTTTAGATGTTCCTTCTCTTTTTTTTGGCTTAAATAGATAATCATTCGTAATAAGTTCATAAATCATACAAGCTAAGCTAAAAACATCTGTATTTTATATATAATCGATACCTAAAATAACCTCAGGAGCCCTATATTCTCTAGTTTATATTGTTGAACTGAATTTTTTATGTGTCCAACACGCATTTCCGAAATCAACGATTTTTATCTTTAAGCTTTTATCTAATTTTATACGAATTTTTTCTTTCCAAACTAAAATTAATATATCTTCGCAATTTTTTTTATTTCCACAATTTTTTTCATTTAAAATTGAATCTTTTTTTTCTTCTTATTTTTCGTCATTTTTTTCATCGAAATTTTCCTCTTTTTTTTCTTCTAAATTTTCCTCTTTTTACAAATTTTCCTCTGTTTACAAATTTTCCTCTTTTTATAAATTTTCCTCTTTTTACAAATTTTCCTCTTTTTTTTTTTAAATTTCATCTAATTTCTTTTATTTTTTCTTTAATTTTTTCTTCGCATTTTTATTCGATTACATCTATTATTATTTTTATTATCTTTTTTTCAAAAACTTCATAGAAAGTGGTTTCCTTTCAATTGACTTCACCTATTAAACAAACTCCAAAAAGCATTCATCGGAAAGTTAAATCATTATATTTTCCGGTTTAATATCAGTATGTATAACATTACATGAATGAAAGAAAGTCAAACCAATCAAACATTATTTAGTGATTAATTTAACCAACCAAATCGGCATATTTTATTTATTATTCTCAAAATGTTAAATTAAATCTAATAAATTCGGTCCCATAATATTAAAAATCGAGCAGTAATGTTTCCCATGTATCCCATAGTGTATGAAAGTATCCAAAAGTTCAATACAAAAATTTTCTCCATTAAAAATCTCCTTTTTTTAATTATATTATTCAATAAAATTTAACCATTGAGGATTTTTTTCATTTTTTTTAAGTCTTATAAAAGTTCGATTTCATCCAATGCACTTTCTTGGTAACTTTGTTTACTTTTCTAAATTTTTAAAGCAACGTATTTACCATTATTAGAGCAATCTTCAGTTAACCATACTGTAGAAAAATGACCCCATCCTAATTTTTAAATGATTTTATAACGACCGTCTTTAAATGTTTCACCTATATATGCAGGATGGTAACCGTCAACTTTATAATCTTCGAAATCTTCAGCATCAGAATAATTCTCGAATTCGGGATCACCTTCAGATTCTGAACAAGAAGAAGAATATGAATATGCTTTTTCACCATCTTTTTTATTTTATTAAGATTTCTTTTTTAATATTTTATTAATCATTTAATTTATTATATTTAAAATATATGTATCCTATTTTAATTTAGATTGCACATAATAAATATTTTTAAAAAATATAAATAAAAATAAAAAAATAAAATAAATAAATATATATATATATATAAAAAAGAAAATATAATTAATTGATAAATTATAATAAGAGTTTTATTTTCAAAAATTAATAATTATAAAAAAAAATGAATAAAATATAAATATATATATATATATATATATATAAATATATAAATATATAAATATATAAATATATTAATATTATTATATATTTTTATATTTGCAATATTTTATTTTGTAATTATAGTATAATAAATAAATATTATATATTTTTTATATTAATTATAAATTTGTTATTATTTTTAACTACAAAAACACATATATACATATTTATATATATATATATAATTATATATATAAATTAATAACTAATTAATTTTATCATTATCTTTTATCAGCTAAATAGAATTTTTCACAATCATTAACATCATCAAATGATCCGCAAATAATTCCACATCTTTCATGTATTTTTTTCGGTTTAATATCTAGAACATTTCCATCACCAGTAATAGCTTTTCCTCCTGCCTTTTCTATTATAAAAGCCATAGGCAAAGTTTCATAAAGTACTCTTAATTTACCTTACTTATTTTTTTTATCTGTTGGATATAGGAAAATTCCACCATATAAAATAGTTCTGTGTATATCAGCTACCATAGACCCTATATACCTTAAAGAATAAGGACTATTTCCATCACTGGGTTATTTAATTGATTTAATATAATTTTTAGTAGCATCATCCCAATATAAGGAGTTTCCTTCATTAATAGAATATATATTTCCTCTTGGTCTAACTTATATATTGGGGTGAGTAAGTACAAATTCACCCAAAGAAGGGTCTAAAGTATATCCATTGACCCCGTTTCCAGTTGAAATAACAAATTAAGTCGAAGATCCATATAAGCAATATCCTGCTGCTACAATTTATCTTCCACTTTAGAGAATATCTTCAATATCTGCAGGTTCTGATTGATCCGAGACACGTTTCCAGATTCCAAAAATGGATCCAATTGATACATTAGCATCTATATTAGAAGAACCATCTAAAGGATCGAAACATACAACATATTTTCCTTATTATTTTATGTCGATTTCAATATGTTTTTCTTCTTCTTCACTTGCTAAAATACAACATTTTCCACTTGATCTTAAAGAATTAATAAAAACCTCATTCGATAAAACATCTAATTTTTTAACTGAATCTCCACTAGTATTTTCAATTCCAGCTTATCCATATAGTTTTGCAATTCCGGCTTTTTTTACTTTCGAGGATATGAATTTACACGCAGTTTAAATTGAAGAGATTAAAAATGTGAAATCTCCAGATGCTTCCTTTATTTATTATTATTCATAAACTAAGTTTCTGGTTAATGTGAAGATATTTGTATCTATATTATAGAGTTATTCCATTTTTGTTTTGTTTTGTTTTGTTTTGTTTTGTTTTTTATTTGTTTTTGTTTTGTTATTTTTTTATTTTTTAAATATTTTTTTATTTTTTATATATTAAGTACTATTATAGCTATTTATATTATAGATTATACGCACTATTTTCTAAATAATGCGTAATTTAATTTAGTGATTTTATTTATTAATTCATATTATGATTTATGTATAAATACGCAATATAATAAGGTTTTTTTTATATTATATAATAGTGATTTTTCTTAATTTATAAAAAATCAAATAATATATAAATTAAATTTTTCAATTTTTCAATATTTTTTTATATATTTTTATAAATGAATTATTATAGTATCATTTTAATTAATAAATTTTTTTGTTATATTTAATTTATATATTTTAAATTGTCTTTATTAATATATTTTATATTATGATATTAGGTTTAATTTCTTTGTATCTAATAATTTCCATTATTCTTTTTTTAATATTATTTATTTTATATTTCCTTTATTATTACATATATAACATTAAATTTATTTAAAAAAAATATATAAAAATTATACATATATATTAAAATTTTTATTATTTCATAATATTAAACTATTTTTTAATAATATAGTCTATATTATTTTGTTATTTCATCAAAATTACTATTTTAAATATTAATAAATAAAAAAAATTATTAAACAAAAACAAAAATTAACATTGTTTAAAAAAAATTTATTTAATTTTTTAAAATAAAAATACAAAATATTGTAATATATTAATATTTTTTTTTTAATTATGAAAAATAATAAAATACTTAATTATATATAAATAATTATTTATATATGTATATATTTATATTGTTTTTATATAATAATAAAACTTTTTAATTTTTATATTTAAACTTTTTTTATATATATTTTTAATATGAAATTTTATGTTATAAATCTTTATAAAACAATCAGATTATATTCATACTTAATTTTTTTTTTATAAAAATATATAATAATTAGTTTATAAATAAATTTTCTTAAAAATTACTTATTTGAATTAAAAATAAAAATATTTTAAAAGCATACTGAGTTTATTAAAATAATAAAAATATGCGATTTCTTTTAAATATATTTTTATAATAGAAAAAAATATTCCAATAAATAGTATTTAAATATATAAAAAAATAAAATAAAATAAATTAATAAATCAATAAATGTAAACTTTTAGTTTGTTTTAATAAAAAATAAACTTATTTATTTTATATTAAATAATTTTATATTTATATAATTTTAAATTATATTATAATCTTAGATTTTAGTTTTATTTAAAATAAAATAATTCAATTATTAAATATATTTTTTATTAAATAAAAATATACTTATTTTCTTTTATAAATAAAAAAATATATTTATAATTTATTTATTTATTAAATCTAAATAAATAAATATTTTTTTTTATTTTTGTTAATTTAATATCTATTTAAATCAATTTTTTTTCGATAATATAATTATCAATATATATTAAAATCATAAAATTAAATATAAAAATAATATAAAATTTGATTTTAAAAGAAAAAAAATTTTAATAAAATAATTAATTTCTATATATATTTACTAAAAGTTTAAAATTAAGATAGGATATGATAAATAGTTTATATTTTATTAGTAAATATATAATAAAAAAAAATATATTATAATATATTAAAAAATAATTAATATAAATTTATTTATCCTTATATAAAAATATTAATTTAATTATTTTATATATTTAATATTTTTTTTAATAATTAAATTATTTGTAAATTATAATAAATTATATAAGATATTTAATTAATATTAAATATATTATTATTAATATATATAATTTAATATATCATATAAATTTATATTTTTTAACATTAATATAATTATTTTTCTTAACTTTGATTTCAATAGTTTTTCATTTTTCATTTTTCAATTTTCTATAAAAAATAATTAACTTGTTTATATAATTTTGATAAATAAAAGATATATATTATTTTATTTTTTAAACTAAGTTAATTAATTTATTGTATTATAAAAGTTATATATTTAATAAAAATAAATTATAATTATTCTATATAATATTTTATTAACAAAAAATAAATATTAATTTTTATTTTTAATTGATAAAAAATTAATAAAAATTAAAAAAAAAAAATTGAAACTTTTATATATTTTATTTTATAAATAATTTAATAATAATTTAAATATACCAATATTATTTTATTTTTATAAAAATAATACATATAGCAAAGATTCCTATTTAATGGGTGACAAAAAGGGTAAAAAAAAGGGAGGAGGAGAAGAAGATGAATCCACCTTACAGCTATATAGATTATACAAAGTAACAAAAAAAAAAAGTCTTTAATAAAAATATAAATTAAAAAAAAAAAAGAAAAAATGTGAATTTAATGGTGTACCAATATCCAAATTATTTAAAGAGAAATTAGATTATGCCATTGAAGAGGAAGAGCATATAACAAAAGTAAAAATAAAATACATTTATAATAAATAGATTAAAAAAAAAAAGATACACATGTGGGAAGAAATAGGCCCTGTAGGAATTCGTGCAATAATGGACTCATTATCAGAAATATAGTAAAATAAATAATAAACATAAAAAATAAAAATAAAAAAGATACTAACATACAAAAAGTGTCCGATTATGGAAAGTAAGAGCATAAGATGAAGGAACAAGAACTATTTGTAATTATATGGAAAAAGTAAAGACTTTAGAATTATTAGATTTAATGGATAATTAAATTAGCAAATTGGGTAAAAACATATTTATATAAATATATATATTAATATCAAAAGGATGCGAATTTCTTGGAAGAGTACTAAATCCAGCTTTTTAATTACCATTATTAAAACTTAAATTAGACCATAATGATTTTGGTACAGATGGCTTGGAATAATTGGCAAAAGGATTAGCAAACAATAATGTATTGGAAAAATTAAGTTTAAATTACTGTAATATAAATTCAGATGGTTCAAAATATATTCAATAAATATTATCTTATATAAACACAAATTTGAAAAAATTAAAAATGAGAGGAAATATTTTATAAAACATTGGAATATATGAACTTTTTAAAGTCTTAAAAATTAACCAGATGCTAGAAAAAATAGATTTGACAGACAATTAATTTAATACAACTGAAGATAATGACGAAAATAAATAAATAATTGATAGAATGTGTGATGTTTTTTTAACTGCAGAAAATCTGCTTTATTATGATTTTAGATTTAATAATATATCTGAAGAAAGTAATAAAATATATAAATATATATAAAATAAATATATATATAAAAAATATATATATATATATATATATATACATAAATATATTATTCTATTTTTAAATTTTAGTATGCTTAGAAGATTTATTTTAGTGTATCGAATAAAAATAAAAC